CCTTAGTGTTTTCGTTATTTATTGTTTAATTTAATTTGTTAGGATCTTATGTTGTTATAATTGTATGTTTGTATACTCTTAAGCCAGCAATTGTTGCTTCTTCGCCAAAAAAAATGGCCAAAGACGACACTCCGTTTATCCTGCGGCTTCTTCAATAACTTCTAATATTAGAATCGGATTAGCTTTCCGAATGTGTTCGGAACAACTTGCTTCATTTGACTTCTGATAGACTTCCCTTTACAATTAGTTTTAGAATAACAATGAGATGCAGGATATCTACCGAAGGCAGTAGCACATTCGCGCCGTCAGTCGTTATTTTCTAAAACATGTACAGTACTATACAGTAGAGTATGTATATACTGTTAGTCGCTAGTTGTTCGTTGCATATGAGGTTGGCAAAACAGTCTCAATCGTGATTAAATACGATAAATTAACCTGTGAAACAAATGCATTTTTTAGTGTACAGTACCATACATACATACAAAATTCAGTAATCCGACAATCTACTATAATTCGATAACCGCGGTTCAATATATGTCGGATTACAGAGAATACTGTGTTTCGCTGCTTAGGCCTACACTGTGAATAGCGGACATTATTGACAGACGTTGTATTATATCAATGTACCAGGGCTGTGGAGTCGGAGTCGGAGTCGTGGAGTTTTGGTGTTTTAGCCGGAGTCGGAGTCGTCAGAAAATCCGCCGACTTTGACTCCTTTTTACTTACCAACTTGTTATGTATATAAAACGGAAAAGTATTGGAATCGTGTCAAATTTGACCCTCCAAGTTTTTTTTGCAAATCTACACGTTTGGAGACCTCCTGAACCGCTCGAAAAAGTCAGTAAAGGGGGAAAATTCGCTCGAGTGTGTGTGTTGGCGTCTAATTTGTTTAATTTCTTTATTTTCTGTTCTGAGATATTAAACAATATTTCAGGATGGGTAAAGTTTAAGAAACGAAATATGGCACTGTAGCTTGCGTATAAAGGGGCATTAATACTATTAAATTTTGGTTTTTAACTGAAGATTGACAGGGTGAAGACACAAAAGTGGTCATGTGTCATATCTCTTAATGAATATTTTACTCGTTATTAGCGTTCAAAATTAAAAAAATAAAATAAAATAAAATAAAACTCGTCTCTATCCTCAAAGTAAGCTTTTTTGCCATTTTATAATAGTACAGTAAAACCCGTTAAGATGTTCTCGCCTAAGATGTTAGAATGTATATGGGGACATGATTTAGTTCAACCACTTTGACTCTTAATAACTAACTCCTGTGTTAAACCATCTGACTCCGATTCTGACCACT